AAACAAGTCTCACTGTACGTCACACTGTTTCTTTCTCAGTGATGAATAAACCAAAAATTTTAAGCAAACGCTTTATCCTTTTTTTTAGATTCTTTTTTTAGACCCCATATTGTAATGAGCTCCGAGTTACAAAGAATAGAGAGCAGTGGCAGAGGCCTCTGTTGCTGCTTTCAAAATGGTTTAAGAATTAAAAGAGGCACTGTCTTAACTAGCTATGCTCATTGGCTAAACGTGGCTGGCTCTTAAAGGGGTAATGATGCAAAAATTAAATGGATAGATTATTCTTGAAATGGAATGCTCATAGGCTACTTAGTATATACACCAAGTTACACGATTTTTAGAGCTCTGGTAATTGCAATAATCAATTTAAGAATCTTTATCATTTTCATCTGGCAACCAGGCAACACTGCCCAAGTAGTCACACTATGGTGTCCATAAACTATTTGATCATGAACGCTCTCTCCCCTATAATCACCCAAGCTCTCCTTGCCGCAGTACGACCAAAACCGCTCACGCAACTCGGTAACCCGAACGCTATTCTTGCTCTCGCCCCCGGCCCGTTGACCTTCCACCGTGCGTGCGCCTGCGAGATATTCCTGGACAACGGTGACCACGGCGAGTTTGTCCGTAAATTGCAGTTGCTGGAGCTCGTCGCCAGCGGGTCGCGGTCAAAATAAACAGCTTCCAACATCTATTGATAACAATTACTCTCATCGCTACTGTGATCAATGTCAAACACTTCAACAAGGCGAGCGATGCCGTAGACATAATTGTCACGGACCACATACTCGAAACGTGGAAGGTAAATGAGGAAGCTGAAGCTCGAAACTCCAAGAGCCAAGTCTGAGAGTGCGGGCAAGGGGACATCGCGCGGGAGGCTGGCTACGTAGCCAGCCTTCCGCTCCGCCCGGATCCGCCCCTATGAGGGACCCGCATATACAGTAAAACCTCGTTATAACAAAGTTGAAGGAGTGGTCGTAATTATTTCGTTATAACCATTAGTTTGTTATAGCCAATGTCCATTTCTTCCCACTATTAGCAAGCAAGGGGAATTATGATTGCTTTGTTATATCCATTAGTTTGTTATATCCCGTTTTGTTATAACGGGGTTTTACTGTAGATCGACTTATACACGAAACTATCGCGCCATTTTCAAAACAAATTTAGCAGGACTATAGGAGCATACAATGGGTCCGAACCACATTGTTATCTCATATTTTATTTTTGGCGTGTCATGACCCCTGTAAAGGGCAACTCCACTTCATTTTTGTTTTTGAAAAGAAAACAATGCAGACCTCTTGAGTATCACCTAAGACCACACACCAAATATTACGTCTAAATGTTTCTTAAACGGTCCAGCCAACTTTGGAGCGCATCAAGTTGCCGAAGTCGGCTGACTAGTGGGCGAATCGGGGCACAATCAACACTGCAGTCAATGCTACAGTGTTGGCATAGACAACATTGAGCTAAACGTACAAGAGTGCTACTTCTTGTTTGTTTTTACTTCACCAGGCAAGCGTAACAGGTATCGTCAGCGGTGTCTCCTCTCGGCGCTCAGCAGTGTCCACGTGATCGGCGTAACACGCCGGTGCAGCACTTGGGAGGCGTCCGGCCTTTACCGTAGTCGCTGTTTGTGATTACAGTGCAATCCCCTTATAACGATAATGAGAAAACCCTAAAATTCAATTGTTACAACTGATTATCGTTGTACATGGACTAGAAACTGATTGTTTCCAGTCTAGAAACTCTAAGAAAATTATTGTTATAAGCAGTACACAGTTATATGTGGTATCGTCATAAGTGGATTGCACTGTATCGTCTCTCAAAGTGTCGTTAACACTACATGTGCAGACCGATGCCGCAGTTGTGCAGACGTCGTATATCGTAGACACCAAGACGTGGTAAAGACCGCGGTAAAGACGACACTTGCGCCTTGCACACGCCCGCCCCCGAGCCCGCCCATTGTCACGTAGAGGATCACATAACCGCTTGTACCACCTGGTGGCTATGTTTTTTGCGGCCCGGGGCCAATGTTCTCTGACGGAGCTGAAGTTTTGGTTTCTTCCTCTGCTCACATATAAAGCAAGATTTCCCAAAATACAGTATAGACAACTTACAACGTAACCGCTTATAGTGCAGGACCGGGTATAACGCGGCTTTTTTTAACCACCGGTTCGCCTCCCATAGAACTCCATGTAATTACATACCGCTTAAAATGCAGGCGCACAAAGGGAAATACCGGTTATAGTGCGGTTTCTGAAACAGCCCGCCGACCGCGCCGACCGGTGCAGCGAGCACGCTTCCCTGTGCGACGCTAGATAATCAAGATAACGGCGCTAGCCACAAGCGGTACTCGCGGTGGGGCAAGGAGGTTGCTCGAAGAAGCGGGGAGAAGCGAAGAGAGAGGCTTCAGTTGCCATAGCGACGGACAGACGCACATACGTGTCGTTCACGTGCGTGCGTACCTCCGCTGCATTTTAGGAAACAACGAAAACAACCGCAACGACAGACCAATCGCAGGTCGAGAAGTGTTCGCGCGCGCTGCATGCCGGTTGCGGGGCAGCTTCTATCCGTAAACATGGCGTCGGTTGTGATCGTCGACATAGACGGCGTGGTGGAAGCTCATCGTTCCGCGTAAAGGCGCTATCCTTGACTGTGAATTTTGGTTGTGTGTCGCTATGATAACCCCGGACGTACTACCAGAAGGGAAGATCCACATTCTCGTGCGGCGATGTCGTGGCGGCACTCTGAAGACGGCAGAAACGCCCGTGTCGTCGTGTTTGTTTACTTCGACTACAGTGATGCTTTCTAAGCATTTGTGTTTTCGAACATCGCCCGGATCTCTTATTTGGAGCATTTCATGCCTGTGCTCAAGTTGAAGGTATTACTGGCACATACCGTATAAAGGATCCAAATTTTCACGCGTTTTCATCACCGGAGAAAAGTCATTAGGGTTAGCGATCCTGAACGCTCGCAACGTCCGTCCGCAACCCGTGAAGCCGCTAGAAGGCTTTGCCAGGCAAAAGGTGCGCATTTCTTTCAAAATGTGTGACACACTTGAGAGAGAAGTGTACTAGTCTGGTGAAATAAAGACTTTCCTCAAACTAAGCTTTATTTTTCATCTAACGTAAAATAAATTGTTTTACAAAGGTAAGTTGTCTCATGGCATGTATTTTGGCCAAAAAAATTGATGTTTTGGTTATAGCGCGGTACCGCTTATAGTGCGGACTTTTGCGACTCCCGCGACATACGTTATATGCGGTCTACACTGTACATCCCATTTTCCGTCAAAGGAATTACGTAGTGCCTTTCATTAGCGTCTTTTCATGTGAAATTGCTCACCCCCCTTCCATTCGAGAAAGAGGGAGGCCCTGCTCCTTTCCGCAGGGAGTAGCTCAGATACCTTTGGGGAAAGGAGGGAAGAATGCGAGGGGGAAGGGAGAGAAGGAGACTCGGAACCGGTTTTCTTTCTGGCAGCAGACGATGCTGTATGTGCCGGCCTTTAAAGGGAAACTCCACTCAAAGGGCAACCCTTGCTGTTTCGCCGATAACAGTCGTGGTTGAGGCGTGGCATGTTCGGCCAATCGTGATTGCATCGGGGGTCGTGCGGTTGCCTTCCTTGACGACTGCTATTTCTCGCCCTTGGTCACCCGTTCGCTCGGCACTCCAAGCCTTTGCGCGCAAGAACAGGGCGGCCGAGCCATGCGCCGGAGCAAGCAGTGGCTACTCAACAGCATAGACGCACCACTGAGAGAGAACGTCGCCAATGTCTAGGCGCCGACGGTCTCATTATTCGTCTAGATCATGTTGTGCGTGAATGTAAACTGGTATGCACAAAAAGATGTTACCAAGCTGAGAATCAATTTGTGCGGCGCGTCCACAAGAGAATGCTCAGTGCTAGCTGCCCTCAGAGCCGTATATGGGGAGAGTTTAGTCAGTCTATGATCTCGTCGCGGTAACGCTCTCTTCCTAAGTGAGCCAATCAGCACGCAGCGTAGAGCGAGAGGCATGAGCGCATGCGCGTGAACTCCCGGCTGCTCCTACCTGAGTGGGGAGGGCCGCCACCTTCGATCATTCTCCTGGCGGAATGCGTGGGATCGGCATCTAAATCTCGATTATTGCCTCTTATATCGCTGGCTCTGGCAAGAAAATGACATTCTGTTATTCCTCGAAGGGTTAAAAAGCTAACAAATTAAGATTTTACGGCGTATGGCCACAAACTTGTATCCAGGCGAAAAAGAAGCCGGCCCGTAGCAGACGACGTGTAGCCTCAGCAGTGCTCTTCTCCGACCAGTCTCCGACAGCGTGGCTAAAAAATGGCGGTCATCTCCTCTCTGCTCCCTTCTTTCTCTCTCGCTCCTTCGGCGCTCTCCTCCCTTTCATTTACTTTTCTCCTCTCCGGCGCCTTCGTCGCCACACCCACTGGCCAAACTCTCCCAATATACGGCTCTGGCTGCCCTGTGTGTGATTCGTTGTGGTTTACGCGAGACATGGTGTCTTTGCTGGCGTCTCGACAGGAGGTTTGTCGGTCGTCGTACCCGGACAGTGACCTGACTGCCTTCAAGGTGTGCTACGTGCCTATGCAGTATTTGTGTATAGGCGCATAGCACAGATGTAACAATCACTGTGGAATGCAAAAAAAAAAAAATTGTAACGTCACTGCACGACGCAATATCATTGAAATGTCGCATCAGCCGACGCTGTCCCTTTGCATCATGTTGGGTGATCATCTGGGCAATTTTTGTTACCTTGATTAAACAGTACCAGGTAGTACCATGACTTGGGACAAGCATTTCTCATTACATTTGTTACGAATTATTTCCCAAATAAAGAGAGGTAAAGGAGGGAACATTGCGCGCCGTTTACTTTGTCCAATCCATATTTCGACTTTTATATTTCCAACATTTCTGCCGGCCCTGTGCGATCTGAATTAATGAGGTTTTACTTTAATAAGGCCGTTGCTACATCATTCTTGTTGTATTCACAAATATGGGCCTCACCTGCTTTTTGGGGTCCTTATCCGGGAGCAAGTCTCCCAGGCGCAGAATGTTGATGTTGATCTTGTCCTTCCGCCTCCTTTCGACCACATTGTGGGTCTCCTTGCGCTTGTGGTTGACAAGCACTTCCCCATTGCAGATGCTGCGCAAGATTAGCAAGCACAAATCATGTTAATTAAGGGCGGCCAGCAATATAGCAAGTCTTTTGAGGCGGCAGTAAAGCAGAATGGGAGTTGTGCAAATGAAGAATAAAATGCACTCACAACAGGGCCCTTCATGTGTTATATGCCGCACAATACGATTAGTGCAGACAAGGAATTGGTACTTTTTCTAACCTTGTTTTGAAGGGCTGAGTTAAGTATATAGAAATCATGCTTATTAATTAAGGTGTTTTCTTTTGTTAAAAAAGATTATCTTTCCAGAGTTGCGTCGGCATTGTGTTTTTTTTAGCTTTCTATGTTACTGTCCGCGGGGCCAGAGCGCCCGCAATGCGGGAGTGGATCCCCCGCAGTCGTTAAGAAAAATCTCGGGTTTCGGGAGTCTGCTCGGACCGGGACCGGGAGAGCCCACGCTTGAAGATGCTTGCGGCTTTTAACCAAATGTGCCTGTATATAGAGGGTTTTGCCGCTTAGTGGGAAATTGTCGCTTTTTGCCCGATGCAATAATTTAGCGCTTGGCACCAGCCAGACTGGCAAAAATGCAGAGAATGACTCTACAAGGAATTTGGCTTTGACGGTTTGAGTGCCAGGCTGACAGCTCGCCGACAATTGGAGAACCGTGTACCACGTGTGAGTGGTGGTCGGTTCCTGAGGGGAAAGAGATTGGTCGGTTCCTGAGGGGAAAGAAGGCCCCTACGAGCCTACAAAAGGAGTACGGAGAGGACTTGGAGGGATAGGGATTTGGATTTGATTGAGGGAAATTGGGAACGGGGGTCGAGACTTTAGACGAGGCAGGATTGTCTCCCAAGTTGGGACTTGTAACTAGAGTGTAAGTAAATGCACATAGTTCTCTACAAGCAGTGAGTCGACCCGTCATTTAGCGACGTTCGTGCCACCACGCTCCAGACAATCGGAGCGGAACCTGCCCCCCACACCACTGGGAGGACCAACAACTCTAACTGGCTGGGCCCCAGTTTCTACAACTTATGTTAGTGCCCCATATGAGCAATTACCAGTGCACAAATAGTTTTGGTGGCAGCCACTCAATTCTAAAAGCAAACCAGAAAAAAAAAAACATGTGGCAATCATTCGTGTCTTTTAGCAGTGCCACACTATGTAGAGAGCGCGACACTGTTAGCGCGAACAAGCGATTGCCGGTTTTTCCAGTTTTTTTTCTTTGAAACCAAGGATGCCATCCAAGTTATTATTGCTACGGTAAAAGCTCGTTTAGTTCTATAATGTAAGCGATACATTTTCGTGCTCGCTAATACTATTTAGAAGTAAAATGTGAAAATGCGCCGATGTCGTGTTTGCGCTAACAGTGTCGCGATGTGTAGCTCCTGCATCAAGGCAGAAAGATGTCTCCAGAGACTAATTGCCCAACTCGTCACGAATTTTTTACTTCCAGCTTAGGAGTTTTGTACCTGCCAAGCAGCAACTAAAGCGAGGATAGCTTACCAGAGTGTAACACACCAAAAATCGATGAGTCATATATTCAGATCTGGCTTACCATATGCTGCGGTACAGATCTGCATATTGTTACGATGCAAGAGGTAGCGGCCAAAGCACCTGCTAAAGTAATTATGATTGGGCGAGCGTACAAAGGAGGCAAAACAGAAGCAACCGGCAATCATTTAAATTACATCTTGGTAAGACTGAACGCCCAGAAAGGCTTTTGGAGAATGTTGAACTGTGATCAATTCCTCTTCAGAGGAGAGGAGGCTGCAGTTTCAACATACACGACTCCAGGAATTCTGAGATCTCCAACTTTCAAAGGATTTATATTGTACCATCATGACGCTCTCTGAAATTTTCAAATAAATGCCGACCTGTTGATTTCCCCATGCACTCATTAATCTTTCAATTTGGTCTCTCAAATGTTGCTTGGTTGGAAAATGAGACTTCATTCAACCATGAACATAAAAGTTTGCAATGACCAACAGTGATTGGTTAATTTAATGCCACCGTACCAAGATTCTCGATTTCTTACACTTTCTAGGTCTGCCTGTTGCCTACACAGATTCTGTCAAACTAGACAAAAATGGGAACCCTTTGCAATGTGAAGGTTATGAAGCTACATCATCAGTCTATAGATATATAAAAAAGACAGACAAAAAGCGACGTTTTTTTAATTCCAAGATCGAACTGGTCTGACTCTTTTATTTCACGCAATCTTCTTCTTTTCCCAGTGGCTAACGCCACAGTAGCACCTGCGACCCGCATCAAACACTCCAGGACAGCTCACTGGGACGACTCCGTCTCCAAAGGTACTCAAAGGCACGCTAATTACTTTTCAGACGAGGAACACTAACGAACATTTTCTAGAATGCTAGTGATGAAATGGCTTTCCAAGCCAATATGATTTATTTTTGGACAAATTTCTTTCAACGTGGAAAGTAGCAGCCAACCTGACTTGCTTTTTGCCCCGAAAAATTTTCAATCAACAGAGACATCTTGTTATTGATGAGATGTCACTGGAAAGCCCCAATTTATGGACGGCGCAAACATTAATGCTCAAGGTGTGTACCTTGAGCACCAAGCATACAAGTGCAACGCCCGAGGTCTTGAGCCCCAAATGGGAGCGCCCGTCTATACCATGGGATGTGATGCATGTTGATTTCGCCAGGCCAATAGCAGGTCAGTCATATCTCGTTCCGGTAGACACCTACTCGAAACCGCTCGAGGTGAAACTTGTAAACAGCATGACGTCAACGGCGGTAATTCAAGAGCTCCGTAGTATTTTTGCCATGTTTGGGGCACCCCGTGAAGTCGTCTCCGACAATGAAACGGCCCTCGTCTCCGACGAAATCAAAAGATTTTATCGCTGGTGCACCGCATCACCTAGCCACTAATGGGCAAGCCAAGCACAAGGTTCACAAGTCGAAACGCGCTCTCACAAAGGGAAGACGAGTCGATCTGTGCTCTCTGTTCAAGCAGCACACGACCATCCGCACGGTGACTGGGAAAACTCCAGCCTGGATGCTGTTCGAAATGGTACGCAGGCAACTATAGCACTGCCCGCAATAGTTAAATTTATTCCACGTCACAACTTTTGCAAGTCCATTAAAGGGGTATTCCACCGTTTTTTTCATTGTCTCCGATTTGCTTGAAATTTTGCTAAACTAACCAACAAACATTGCTAAAATAGTGTCCCAAATATTAGGTCAAAATATTGTTTTTTCGCAAAGTTATTGAATTTACAGTTTTGGTCTTCACCATGTTTTTCAAACTGAAAGTCTCTACTGGCAACAACAACAAAGTGACGTCAGTGGAAGGCAGGGGTTAACTTTTTGGACTACAGAAGTTGTTCCCAACGGATTTGAAGCAGTTTCTTGGTGTCAAATGAGTGCTCTGGAAGCTCGCTCCCGTATCCGCGCTCCAGCACGGAACAAATGATTGGCATATTCTATTTTTAGACTACTTGCTCGACTGGCAAGCCTGCCTGCCACTGACGTCACGGCACTGAAAAGTGCGCAAATATTTTAATATTGGTTTTTGCACCATTTTCATTTGCCGATTTCACAATACCTATTATGAATTTCGCGATGCTAAATAGCATACCGGAAAGGCTAAAGGCCGGGGAGTCAGAAAATATAGTTAGTTGAGGTAGCTCAAAAAATCGGTGGAGTACCCCTTTAAGTGAGGGCTACGGAGCAAGTTGAGAATAAAACAGGCTGTCAGAACGACCTGCCAAGGGTCGTTCTGACCCTTGGCAGGCCTACATGTTAAAGAAGCAGTGGAACGATTTTAACGCCGAACGAATTAGCAGTTTATATCTTTCATGTTGTTTATCTAGGCACAACCCCCGAAAAACTACTATTCTGCTCCGTAATCGCAAAGGAAAAAACAAATCGCTTGAGAATCTGCATCCCCGTGTGGCGGTTTATCGGGTCTAGAGTGGCACATGTCATTGGGGAACACGCACAAGTCAACAAAATCTGTCCCCCCCCGCTGCTACACTTGCCATGAGCCCCGTGGCATAACGACTTTTGTGTCAACCACCCGCCGCATCTTTCGGCGATGCCAATCCTTGAAAACTTTACAATCGTAAGGGAGGCGCTGGGTTCTCTCCAACGGGAAACCATGTGGTCCCCCAGAGACCTCTCTCGAAAGACGGCGCTACAGCTGGGGAGCACTTTGACCTTCGATTTGTTGCATTTTTTAAAATAAAAACTGGCACAGACAGGAGAACACGGTGTTCTGTTCTCTGTTTTATAGGTGATGCAGATTAATTGCCACAGTTAGTCGGCCAAAGTCGGAAAATTAAGATAGAAGCTCCAAACTGTAATACGCAAACTGGCAAAAAAAGAAAAGAAAGAAACCTAGAATTTTTATTGCATTGACTACTAAGCATTCCTATTTGGAATGTAGGAATTAGGTTATATTGTATTTCACTAAATAAAAAATCACCATCAATAATATTCTCGGAGCTTCAAATGTTGTGGGCGCATAAACTCTGGTCGGAAGGATAGATGATTCTAGCTTAAATAAGGAAACTACCTTTGGTTAGTTTGCACGGTGAATGGGTCAGCCCAAGAGCAATGGGCAAGGCTTGGGCTTCACGGATGCAACTGGGGAGGGCCTGGGTTGGGCAAGGCCCTTGCATTCAAGTCTCTGAAATAGGACAGTGCTTGGGCCACTATTGTTTTTAATATTCATTAATAATATTCAAACCAGAGTTCCTGCTAAGCTGAGACTGTTTGCTGATTGTATTCTTTTCCATGAAATTAAGAGTTCCACTCACTATGAAATACCACATCCTTCTTTAGAAAAAACTCCTGTGGTGCAAAGATTAGCAAATGTGCCTTATCTTACTAAAACTATGTGCATGTCTGTCACTCAAAAAAGGAATCCTATTTACTTTAACTATGCTGTCGGCAGTCATCATCTACCTAGAGTGTCCTCTTATGAGTACCTCGGTGTCACCGTAACGTCCGGCTTGAGCTGGAATATGCATAGTGGCCAAATTATCACAAGGGCAATAAATAAACTCGGATTTTTGGCCAGGAATTTTAAACAAGGTTCAAGTGATAGTAAGTTGTAGTTGTAAAAAACGTTTCTTAAGGCAATTCTAAAGTATGCTAGAAGTGTCTGGGACCCGCACACGACTTGTAACATAGCTGATTTAGAAAGAGTTCAGAGACTTGCAGTGCAATTTGTTTTTAATATGGATTCTTATGTGTCCCCTACAGACTTGTGTTCTAGAGCAGGACTCCAAATGTTACAGAAAAGGAAACAAAATCGTCTGAAATTTCTTTATTTATATTGTTAGCAATGAGCTGGCAATCGACAAAACTCAATACATTGAATTTTTTTCCGCCAGAGCATCCAGATATTCACATCAGAAGACACTCAAACCATATAATTATAAAAATGATTAATTTAAATATTCCTCCTTTCCTAGGAGAGTAATAGACTGTAACAACCTGCCACTCAATGCCGTTAATGCAGCCACCTATTCTGATTTTTGCGAGGTTTTTTGTCAATGAGTGCACCATGGAATATTTGTACCTAGGGGTATGTGTTTTTCACTTCAGCTACAACCTCGAAAGAGGTTAGCAGCACGAATAAACAAACAAACAAAAAAAAAAACCACAACTTTTTTTTTGCAGTTTGAAAGTTGTTTTGGGGGTTGGGGAGGACACAACAGTGCAAGACCCAAATCCCGAACGCATGCATGTCTGCAATTATTACAGTTCGGAGCATGCACAGAGACCGCTCTTTTGGAGCACCAGCATTGCGGCATTCATTTATATCGCCGGCAGCACCACCGTCATACAGTCCAGTCACTTCTCCCCATCAAGCACGCATACACAAGCGCCTACACAATGAAGACTCTGTCATGTGTAAGCTGTCTGTGCATACGAGTGCATGCACCCACAATATGGGTGAAGAGAATTCGCTTCCGTCAAAGTGGTTCTCTCGGGGGTGCTTTTCCCGACCGATTTCTCGCGGACCGCCGAAAGAGACAGGGGGTTTCTTTCGGATGAGTTTTTCGTTCGGTCGTGCACAGCAGGAGTGGGCAATTCAGAACTTCGTTCGTCTTTTGTCCGAACCTGACAAGACGCTTCTCTTTCTTTTCACTCTTTGGATGTGGACTTTGTTTACCCTCGCTTGCCACTTTAATTTTTCTGTCCTTTTCGATGCGCGGCTTTGGTCGAAAGAAACGATGACAAGGGTGGCCTTTTTTTAACGCACCGCTCGGACTTACAGAATGCATCGTCTCGTAATGGCAGCAAGAACAAAAATAGAATTCTTATTGCATTGACTACCACACACAGTAGTAGGCATGTGTAGCAGTGGCAAGTGAGCTCGCCATGCCCGGCTTATTGTAAGCTCAGCTTCGTACTGGGCGAAAATAGCGCGGGCCTCAGCAGGCACGCGAAAATTGGTGTCGGGCCGGGCCAGCTGTCGGAAGTAGATAGCAAGCCGGGGAACTGGGGCAGGCTCCGCTATATTGGCCCGTGAAGGCCCCTACCTACAGTCGCCAATGGGGTGAGAACAGCAGGGAGGTCCATCAGTTGTCTCACTTCCAGCATGACCTTCCTAACTTCGATACCACATCGGCGTCTCTTAAGTCGCTATCTTGGGCCCAGCGGCCAAAGCACGACAAAAGGCTCGAGCGCACGATGGAGCCGGGGCATCTGAAAGAGACGCTCCGCAATTCGCACCCCGTCAGCGGCTGTGCCCCGATTTGATTGAGTACAAGAATGGTATCGGCCCTCTGCATTCCCGGAATGCGGCACGTGGAGTAAAACATGTTGCACCACTCACCAGGCCTCTTCATCACTGCTATACTGTTCTGACATAGCAGCAACTGTGTCTTGTACACTGAAAAGAAACAAGTGCTTAACAAATTTCCTCGTCAAAGAAAACAAAGAGCCTTTAGCGATTGCAAGCGACGTCGCACTGCAGTGAACCTTCCCCAATAGACAATTCGCTGCATTATGCAAGCACCAAAGAGAATGTTGGGAACATAAATACACATGCTGTAGGTGCTCGCCTTCCCCATGAAAAACACTTTTAAGTAAATACACAAAATGAAGCGTCCGTGGAATGCGCGTGCAAAATGCTATTTGTTTTAGATTTTGGCTTTCGAACAGTTAGAGCTGAAGACGACAGCACGCTCAGTGCATGTACCAACATTCCCTGCATATTTTTTTTTTTTTATGCTTGGGTAATTCGGCATAGGTCTATTAAAAATAATAACACAAAATCTGCATTTTTTCTTTTTTTAGTTTATATTTGGCAAGTTGCTAGATATCATAACTTCTAGATATGTATTACTTGGGAATTAAAAACAGCGCGGAAAGACAAAGACCAAACAAAGAAGTGACACGGACGTAGCGCTGCGTCCGTGTCACTTCTTCGTCTGGTCTTCGTCTTTCCGCGCTGTTTTTAATTCCGAAGTATGTACCAACTCGCCCAAGCCTCAACTTTAGCATCATTCATTTCTAGATATGTATGCTTTAACACAAACCATCCAAGGCAAGTTTTTGTAAAATTGAAAATGGTGAAATTTGGTATCACAATTTATAAACCTTGCGTAATGGCACACTTGTGATAGTCAGGAGGGGCCTGTGCAGATATTGATTTTCAAATCAAATGTGTCTATTTTCCACCTTGTAAAAAATACAGATGGAGGGGCTGTGGAAAAAAAAGCTGCGCTTAGCAGCTTCACGAGCCCACAGTCCCTGTATTAATGGCAACTAAGCAGCTAACCCGCATCCGCAAAAAGTGTAACTGGATTTGAATGGCACCTACAAGTCATATGTATACCGTAAAATACCAAATAAATGCCCCGCTAAAAAAGATTGTTCTGGCTCGGTTTCGGAGATTTATGTTTGTCCTTTGTCCCTCCTGTTCCCCTTCTCCAGGGATTATTTTCGTCGATATAGGACTCACTCCGCTTGCCATACTCCCTGCCAAAAAAGAATGTGCAGGAATTGCAAACTGGTAGATTAGAGGTAAAAGGGGCTTTCCCTCTAATCTGCCATGCACACGAGATTAGGCAAAGCCCTACTTTTTGCAACAAAGAAATAAACACAAAACAAAATATGCCAAGCAAAGAACTGCAATGAGCAAGTTCCCAAGATTTCTTATTCACCATTTTATGCCATTGCAGTCCATTTCAAATGAGGAGATAGTAAATTAAAGAAAACCATGCTGGACATTTTAAGATACTAGCCATACGTCATTTACCAACTTGGTTTAAAAAAAAGGTGACATCTTTCGCACGGTTAAGAGTGCCAGCAACCGACGATACCCGATCATTGTCTTAGTTGCCGTCCCTCTTCACCACCACTGCCAAATACGGCAGTAATGTGTGGGCAGGGATGAATGGTAAGAAAAAAAAAATAGCAGGGCACCCAGCCGAGAGCGACAGAGGCGCGTGGCGAGCCTGTCTTTCACTGTCCCCACCTTTCACACCTAGGTGGCGCAAGTAGCTGCACCCGACTAAAGTTCCTGTATGCGCAACTCTGCTACCTACGGTAGCAGAGTTGCGCATTCAGCCTTGGAGCGTGGCCGTAGCGCCGGCTTTCCCGCACGAGCTGGATTCTTTGCTCCTCACGTGACTAAATTTAGCGAATAGCGGCGCCGCGCGCGCCGCCACGCATGGAAAACAGGAGAGGAGGAAAAGGAGACGGAAAGCAGGGAAACATACGCCGGGGCAAGAGAAACGTCGGTGGAGCGACCGTAAAGGTGGCTTTCTTGCACGCCACCGGATGCTTTGCTCCTCACGTGATGGATCTCGGCGAATAGCGGCGTGGTGGCGCGGGGAAAATAAATGCGCAATTCTGGCTCCCGTAGGGAGCCTATACAGGAACTCTACACCCGACCAGAGCCGTATATTGGGAGAGTTTGGTATGTGGGTGTAGCGACGAAGGCGCCAGAGAGGAGAAAAGTAAATGAAAGGGAGGAGAGCGCCGAAGGAGCGAGAGAGAAAGAAGGGAGCAGAGAAGAGACGACCGCCTTTTTTTCGCAACGCTGTCGGAGAAGAGCACTGCTGAGGCTATGTGTCGTCTGCTACGGGCAGACTTCTTTTTCGCCAGAATAAAAGTTTGTGGCCCTACGCCGAAAAATCTTCATTTATTAGCTTTTTAACCCACCGAGGAATAACAGTATGTCATTTTCTTGCCAGCGATATAAAAGGAAATAATCGAGATTTAGATGCCGATCCCACGCATTCCACCGGGAGAATGAACGAAAATGGCGGCCCTTCCCACTCAGCTGGGAGCAGTTGGGAGTTCACGCGCATGCGCTCATGCCTCTCGCTCTGCGACACGTGCTGATTGGCTCACTCGGAAGGAGAGCGTTATGGCGGCAAGACCATAGACTGACCAAACTCTACCCATATACGGCTCTGCACGCAACGTAGCGGAGCTCATTCGCGCATGCTCGCTGCAGCACACTTCCAAGGAAAAGCGCCTCGGAATGAGAGTTCACCGCAACAGTGACCTTCCAGCAATGTACAGGTTCCTAGCAGGCTCCCTCACAATTATTACACCCAACACGAGTTTGTCACGACCAAGATCTCCGCTGCATTCTCCCGTGGCAAAGGGTTTCTAGCCAGCTCTCGAGCGGTCATCGCACCAGAAAATGTGACTACGTCACGTCTCCGACAACAGCTCACCTGTATTTTGAGCTTGCGTGAACGAGCATCCGTCCATCGCTTATTTCCGAACAAATTTAGACATCGAATTCCCAAAGACTGCTTGCACGCAACATTTTTCTCCATTGATCTCCTCATTATGAGCGGGCAATCAATTCAAGATGTTACATACAACGGAGGAATCTGCGTCCGATTGCCAACCGGCATTTGTTTCCGCCTTTGACATTTCGAAGGCGCTATTGGCACGGTGCGTGGAGTGCGTTTCTGACTGGCGTGTTTAGCGCACACTCTTTTGTGGTTCCTCGATTTCCACTGTCACTTCTGGCTGGCCAACGAACACTAAAGAAGACGCAAGGGGGGATGCCGTGGCGACGGCGACCCTCACATCCACCCGCCTTTCAAAGACCAGCCGCCAGGATTGCGGCATCCAACAGCGTGACACACGGGCTTTTGCAACACAATTTGTTGCCAAAAGACCGCTCGGAAGTGAACGTACCTGTCAAGGACAAGTTCGAGGCACCGTACTACTGCTACATGCCCACTTAAGGAAACTAGGCCTCTTCAATACCACACGCCCGTCCGTTTATCTTTCATACCGTTGCACGTAAACACTAGCGTCACGAGCCTCGAGGCAGAATATGCGGCGAGGCGCCACGCTTGGAAACACCACGTGCGGCCAAAAGCATCGTGTGAGCCAAAGCAATGTTCGAACGATGCCCGGCAAACGCTCTGGGGGACCATCATCCACCCGAGGGGGCAGGCAACAACGGTAAGGTGCGATCCTCCAACAACGGCTACCTCCCGTGCCGGAAGGCACAGACTGCATTCTTTAGCAGACTTCCGAACAATTCCAACAAAATCGCTGACCCAAACTTGCATTTGTCTGTAGAGCAGCGAGCCAAGACTCGGCAGGTTGAGGGGGTCGGGAAGCTAGCCATTACGGCACCCGCGGAGACTTTCTTGCAGCCCTTCTGGCGGTCCGCTCTCCACTCCCTATTGACCGGGCAGAATCGGCGACCTTACACCAAGCATTTTCGCGCTCATACCATATTTAGTAACTCACTGAATGTAACCGATGCATAATCTTGTGTTCAAACTATTCTCATGTTACGTTATTGTTATGTTGTTATTCCCTGTCCCAGTGGTAGGCTAGCCACCTGGGGTAACGATTCCCCTGCAAATAAAGATTATTATTATTATTATTAGTGGTCACGAGCAACACCCGCCTCACGCATCTCAAGTGTTTCATGAGCGCAGATCTTTGAGCACTCATCCAACCTGCGTCCGCGGCAAACTGCCTCGTCCGCTATCCGCGAACTCTGATTATTGTTTATCCGTATCTGTCGGATTCACTGCAGGTGACAGCGGATCACCCGCGCGTTTGCAGGCATTAAGTGATCGGAGAAAATCAAATAATTAAACGTTTCAAGCACGCTTTCTTTTTTTTTTTTTCACTCTTTTTTAAGTTGAAACCCAAAACGTGGTATGCTGCACCGACAAAACGGTAGACCTCACATTTTTTCGACAGCTAGAAATAAAAGTGAAGTTTCCTAATTGAATGCAATCCAGGAGCAGCAGCCTGCAGTCCCCAGCAATTGTAACGCGGTTCAAGGCCACCGAAATTGAGAGGGAGAAATTACGGTTTTCGCTACGTAGTTCAAAAGTTGCTCGCGCTACCTTATGTAACCGATGGCAAACCACTTCTCTCCCGAGCCAAACAGGAGGGAACACGAGGCGCGGAACGATCGCGCTTCCGAGAACAGCTGTTCGCTATGCAACATCTCGTAAAACAGCCGAGATCAATTTGTTTACTTCAAATTCAGTCTCGACGTCCCGTGCTTCGCAAAAACTCGCATCGCCGGGCAAACGACACGCGTCCCCCACCATTATCGCCGCGTAGCCGTCAACGTGCACCACTTACCATGACAAATACCTCTCCGGGATACGCGAACGGGACAATATTCGCACAAAAGAAATTACAACTGCCGAAAACTGGTCTAAACAAAACTTACGGCCATTTTGAATAATGCCTCGATTATCTACGATGGGGCGCCACAGGCAAGAAACGAAAAACGTATTCAGAAAAATGCACCAACCATTCCCTTCAATTTTAAACGATTTTAAAGAACTTAGAAGTTAAATTTTCCCTGCATTTTATTCTTTACATAAAAAAAACTAAACTAAATATTATAAACTGTATCAAAGTCGTTTCGTTTTAAATTGGGAAAAAAAAAAAAAAACTGCCCCTGAACATTGAAATACTTTGGTTGATTAAGTCAAAGAAATTAAAATTTACTCTATTTATTATATATTAAAGGATATCATACGCTTTTTAGTTATTTATTGCAGTTTTGTGAAGTGTGCCAAAAAGAGGCAATTATATCAGTGTGAGTGCGGCAACACTGGCGGCAAACTGTTTAAATATGAGCCACCACACCATGGAGAATAGAAGGGTAGGAGAGGGCATGACGTCGGCCGCGTAGCCTCCGCAAGCCATGCTCCCTTGACGCCTCGCCTCTTTCTCATTTTCCTCCTTACTCTCCTCACTTACCTTGCCAACGTGACCACATCACGTGACCGTAGCTCGCCTTCGTCTTGCTATGGGGTACTAGAATACACCACAGTCTAGACTTCGATCTGATAAAACCTACCGGACGGAGCGCGCGCAAGCCTGCGAGGAGTCCTTCTACAATCAACCATCCATCTCACACGTGACATGTCACGCGCACCAATCGCCAGAGAGATCTGCGGTCACGCTGGGCACAAATTCGTTTAAACTTTTTATGACTAGGCTTCACCAATATTGCAACGTGCCCCCTCCTAGTACTTCTAACCTCCTTGCACCACACCGTAGTTTAAACGTGAGGCGGGTTTAAAACGTGAGGCGAGTTTAAAACTCGCGTTTTCTTGAACTTTATTCCTCTTTTGTATTTGGGGATTTTCTTTTCTCGTTTATTTGATTTTGAGAGGTTAAAACGAGATACAAATCTTTTTAATTTCCCGGCGAGGTATGGTAACCAGAAAACCAAGATCACTCCAATATCAATAAGTGCCAGGTAGCACCAAACATTGTAGTAACGTTATTTTATTGTTGCGTATGTTTAAATAACGTTATGTGTTATACCTGAACATTAATGTAACGTTCAAGTTAAACATATTATGTTTTAGTTGTATTTGAAACATTAGTATGACGTTCCAGTGAAACATATAATGTTATATGCTGTGTTATTAACGTTAATATAACATCACATATGTAACTGCGAAATAACGTTAAAAATAGAACATTGAAATAATGATTTTGGAACATTTATTACTAACGTTATTTCTGTGTTAATATTGAAACGTTAATGTAACATCACATATGTAACTGTGAAATAACATTAAAAATAGAACGTTCAAATAATGATTTTGGAACATTTATTACTAACGTTATTTCTGTGTCAATATTGAAACGTTAATGCAACATCACTTATGTAACTGTGAAATAACGTTAAAAATAGAACGTTCAAATAATGATTTTGGAACATTTATTACTAACGTTATTTCTGTGTTAATATTGAAACATTAATGTAACATAACATATGTAATTGTCAAATAATGTTAAAAACAGAACTTTAAAATAATGATTTTGGAAGATTCATTACTAACATTATTTCAGTGTTAATAATAATACGCTAATGCAACTTTATTTGTAGAACAATAAAATAATGTTGAAAATAAAACATTCAAATAACTTTATTTGTAAAACAATAAAATAATGTAAAAACTATATGTTCGCCGGTTCTTTTTTTTTTTTTTTTGCCCGATTTTTTAAAGGTTTTTCTGAAAAGTACTTTACCTGCCCTGTGATGGTCGCAAGGAGGTGAAGGAAGAGGATTAAGTACGGGAGAAAACGGAAAGAAGAAAAAGGAAATTTTTCTGAATTCAGTCAGTCAGTCAGTCAGTCAGGTGAACCAAGACCCTTTTGGATCAGGGCGGGTACTCTGGAAGAATACCTCTGGTTCAATAGTAAAATAAAATAAAGTGTTCACTTAGTGGAGATTCACCAGATTCACTTCGAAGTCCACGGCCGTTGGGTTTCCGTTTTCGTGTTTCGACAAAGTCTCTCCCACATCACCAGGCGGTGCCCCGTGTCTTCCGTTTCCCTCTGCGCGTCGTCGTCGTCTGCGTCCGCGAGTCCCAGCGCACGTTCCAAACCGTCTCCGCCACCGCCTGGAGTGTTTTTCCTGGTGTGTTCGAGACGTCTGCATCGGCTGACAACGTGCTCGATTGTCTCTTCATCCTCTCCGCAAAGTCGACAGGTTGGGTCGTCGCCGTATAGCTCGCACTTTCGGCTCTGGGTCAGGAGGCAGCCCGTCCGCGCCTGAAAAAGCAGGGCGCTGGCTCTGTCTCCCCTGTATCTTTGGTACGGAGCCGGCTCACTCTTGTGCGTTCGGTAGAGCTCGAGGCTCTGTTTCCTCTGGGTCGCCCTCTGCCACCGCTGAATTCCGGCCTGTGTCACCTCTTTGCGAATTGTTTTGGCCCATTCTCTCTCCGTGGTCGCCTGTTGCCTGTTGGTATCCCCACTGTACTCGGAGTCTATGGCTTTTAGCTTCTTTATCCAATTTGTTCTCGTTCCCTTGTATCTAATGTGGTAATACATTCTTCGCGCATAGTTCTCTTCCGGAAGGAATTTCAGTCTTCCCATGTACTGAAGCTTGGATCGGGCATCTCTGTTTTGGTGAGTGGACCAACCCATCTCACCTGTCACTGCTGCGTTAGCTGTGCAGCTGCTTCCTCCCAGCAGCCACCTCCCCAGCTCGTACTGGTGTCGATCCAGGCCTTTGATCCCGGCCACGCTGTATGTGAGTGCGTCATTGGCGTAGGTAACAGCCGGGACGGCTATTGTTTTCCAGAGAATTCTGCCCACCGAATACTTGTTGTATGAATGTCTGGCAAGATGCCACACTGCACCCTTCAACTGGTTCGATTTTGTTACCATGTTCCTTTCGTGTTGAGCCAGATAGTCCTTATCACTAGTTATGGTTACACCAAGGTACTTGTAGCTGGTTGTTTTTTTGACTATGTTGTTTTGCAAATAAAAGTCCTGGTCGCCTTCTGTGTTAAAGCTCAGCCACTGTCTTTTTTCGGCGTTGAATTTAAAGTTGTCCCTTGATGCCTCTTCCGTACAGATGTTCATCAGGTGTTGCATATCTGCTGCCGTTTCTGCCATGAGTACCACGTCGTCCGCAAAGGCCAGGCACGGGATGCGTGTGTATTCCTCGTGTCCACCCTTGGTGATCGTGCTGAGGCGCAGCCCGGCTCCCTCCTCCTCCAGTCGCCTGAGGAGGTCGTTGATATACACGTTGAACAGTGTTGGTGATAGGGGGCACCCCTGCCTTAGTCCAATAGTGATTGGCACTGGTCTTGAATTATATTCTCCTAGTGTGTAGCAGGCCTCACATTCCCTGTATAGGCCCTTCAGGAGATTCACGCTGCTCTCATCGATCCCATTTTTTCTAAGTTTTGTCCAAAGAGCCTGATGTGGTACCGCGTCGTAAGCTTTTTCCATATCCAAAAATGCCAGGTACAGCTTGGAGTTCTGTGTGTTTTTTAATTCTATTGCCTGGGTTAAAATGAATAGGTTGTCACTTGTTCTTCTGTTTTGCCGGAATCCATTCTGGGCTTGTACTAACATGGCATTTTTTTCACAGATATTCTGCAGTCTATGGTTAATTATGCTGGTGAACAACTTGCTGACATTACTTATGATTGATATTGGTCTGTAGGCTCCCAGGTCTTTTGGGTTTGTCTGTTTTCCTTTGTATATTAGCTTTACTTTTGCTTGTTTCCAGTTTTCCGGGATTTCCTTCGACTCGAGTATTGTATTAAAGCATGTCCTGAGGCTGTCCTGTGCCTCTTTTTTTAGTGCCTTGATGAACTCGTTGGGGATATCATCTGCTCCTGTTGCCTTTCGGTTTCTCAGCCTTTTTATTTGCCTCTTCATTTCCATGCTCGTTATGGGGTCCATTATGGAGTGTTCTTGTCCTTTTTTACTCTCAGTGGTTTTTGACCCATTGTTTGCCTCTTCTGGAATTCGCTTTAGGACTTGTTGTTGTTGTGTAAAATATTCGGTTAGCCAGTCTTCTATCTCTTTCTTGTCCTCTAGGTCTTTGCCATTTTTTTGTAGTATTGGTGCCTGGTCCGTTTTTGTACTCGATTGGGTCTGCATCGAAGTAATTAGTTTCCAAAATTTTTCGCTAGCCTTTTTCCCTTCTTTTAGTATGTCTTCTTCTGTCTTCCTGCTGAACTGCTCTATTTTTGCAGCTACTAATGCCTTGACCTGTGCTTTTTGTTCTTCAAAGCATTCCCACAGGTATTCAACCCGTGCCGGAGGATAGCCTTTACGACGTGCCCACCTGTGCTCTTTGTTGATCTCTTGCCTCCTCCTGATTGCATCCTTTACTTCCTTGTCAAACCATGGTTTTCGGTTTTGTCGCCTTCCTTTCCTGGTTTTCCCTATATGTTTGTTTGCAGTTTTGCAGATTAAACTGATAAGTTCTTCATATGTGTGCTCTGCTTGAATTTTTTCTTCTAGTTCTGATGCAAATTCTTCTATCTTCTCTTCTGCTCCTAGCTTCCAGTGGCTTTCCTGACTGTGTATCTTTGTTTCCTTTTTTTGTCTGTGAATTTTGGTCTTAAGTTTTATCAGGATTCTGTTGTGGTCACTGCCGCAGCTGTTCACCTTGCTCTCATCGATGTGCATGGAGTCAATTTTTATGTTCATTCTGCTTGCATTATTACTTATGAGCACATAGTCAATTGCTGTCTGCTGATTTCTGCGGCTCCATGTTGCTGTTCCCTCACACTCTGGCTCCAGGTTGACTATCGTGAGATCATGTTTCTTGACTAGTTTTCTCAGTCCTGCTGCTCCGCTTTCTCGACCATCCAGCTCCAGTATATGACAGTTGAAGTCTCCAACAATCATGATCGGCTCATTTTCAAAAGTTGTGCAGATATCCTTTGAGATGCACTCGTAAATAGAGGTATTCCACG